TGATTTCAATATCAATTGAGCAAGATATGATTCAATTATAACTATAACTTCCATTTTGAATGATAACATAAAGAACAATCCTGTCCACAAATGGTCAAACAATCACCAGAAATGCATAGGATTCAAACAAGGAATAACTCAATTGTTGATCTGCAGTTTGAATGTAAATCATGCCCATGAATGAATTTTGCTAAGATTATTATTCAATTGCAATGTCCGTTTTGAATAGAATGTAATTGCGAATGATTTTCCATTGCAAGGCTTCTGGCAAGGCTGATTAAAGCTTCTTATAATAAGGCTCGTCATAAAGCTACTTATGAGATTCCTTATAAAACAGCTGATCAAAATCCTTTTAAGGCTCCTCAGAAAGCTTCTCCACAAACGATGCCTGGCAAATGTGATGAAGGGAGGGGCAAGTGACAGATGAGATCCTTCTTTTAAGCTAAAAAGGTGGGTCATGCAGGGGGGGGGTGAGCATAATATATATATATATATATATGGTATGTGTACGAGTGTATGCGTATGAACATATTGTGACATAGTTGTGTATTAGTGCAAATATATGTAGGCATGCATGGATTATACAACACACTCCTCGTTCCCATAACTTGCTGGTGTGAAAAAAATACATTTAAAAACAAAAGCAGGGAATGAGAAATGGAATGACCCAAAACTAAACCCTCCCACTGGTGGTTTGCTTTTTATGGGGACCCCTTCCGTTTCATTCCCTACCATTCCCTACCGATTTCGCACCAGCAAGAACCAGGGAACTCTGGTCTCAAAACGAAAGGCATGGAGCAAACAAACCCCGCACCCAAGTTGACTGTTATCTGGACTCCAGTGGGCTAAGCCAATCCAAGCCACCTTTGGGGTGACCTGAACGGACCCACGACACCCTCCGTTTGCTGAAGACTTCTGGGGAAAAAATGTGTGTCCAGCAGTGAAATCGATTCCCTTTCACACCAACAGAGGAAAATAATAAAACCATATTCTTAAGTAGATGAAGTAAACCAGCCGAAGCGAGCCCGCACCCAACCAACCCGCACCCACCCAATCCCGATCCCAAGCCACCTCACCTCGCCCAAACAACCCCAGCTCACACCCCACCCAACCTTCCAAGCCGATGCTCAGCTGTTCAGTGACCCGATCCTGGAAAAAAGGGAACCCTTTCTTGGGAAGACCATTTTTAGTGGGGCAGCCACTAACAAAAAAAGTTGGAAAAATGATTGGTGCCTGAGCAACTGAGGATGCTACGACATCAAGACATCTTCTGTAGGCAGCTCCTTTAGGTTGACTGCAACGAGGATGACCGCCACCGAGATCGCAAGAAAGCGCCAGTGTCGGAGCCATGTGCACCCGCGTGCTGGATGTTTCGGCACGGTCCTGGCATAAAAATAAACATGGCCATAGCGGGCGGATGTAGTGGATTCATGGCCTAGTTGTTCAGTTCAGCTTCATTCTTGGACTCCTTGATTCATCTAGGTCCTCCAGTAGAGAGGTTAGAATAAGGCTACCAACTTGTCTCTATTCTATTTTAGTAGGGCAATTCTCCCAAACAAAACGTTGGTAAGAAAGGACACCTAGCTGGGGGACCTAGCTCATTCTGTGCTTCCTTCACTTGATGGTGGCATGGGTTTCCTTCATGGCGTTTTTATGCGAAAGTTTCCATGTGCCTCACTTCCGATTTGAGCGGATTGGCCAACAAACAAGTAGCAACTTCTTGTTTACCACTGAAAGTGTCTTCCCAAAAAGTATTGAACTCCATAAACTCAAGAAGTGAGATGCGCGTTTGGTTTGCCTGCTTGCTCTTCTGGCTCCGTTTGTGCTGGGCTTGATCTTTCTCGCTTCTTACAAGCTTTAGCATCGACTCACTTCCGATTCGAGTGGAGTCCATCTTGGTTGGCGTTGAAGGGAAGCAACAATTACATTGTTAGCAGTTAAGTGGTTGGAGTTCAACCACTAAACCACAATAAGTTACCAAACATGTGTCCAATGTAAAACCGTAAAACCCAACAACAACCATGTCACTTCCGATTCGAGTGGATCGACAAGTCTAAAAACTTGAGGCCACCAAACCAAACAGCCTGAAGCCCAGGCACAGGCGGAGGAACTTTGCGCTTGCCCGTTCCCTGATCTCAAAAGCTCAGTCTCAGTGACCCTGGAAAAAAAAACAAAAAAAAAAAAACAACAAGATGTGATTTTTAGTGGGGCTTGCACCAAAAAACAAATGGGGAAAAGAATAGGTGCCACTGAACAACTGAGGTGGTGCAGTCCTTTCATCTCTTTCGTTGCTCATCGGCTTGAACCCCCCATCCGCTTCTCTGCTCTCTCATTGGCATTCAGCTTCTACCAACTGCAAAATACGAGGCCCCGCAAACACATGGCGGTGTGCCTTGTGGCTTCTCTTTACTCCAATGTGAAAGACTACCCTCAAACACATGCATGTCATATGTATGTGTATATATATATATATAGAGAGATATATGTATACTGCATATATGTATAAACGTATTACATGCATGTTTACATACACATTTGATTTGCATGACTCCATACACCGGAATGCTGCATGTGGCACTGATGTTGCTTGCAAGAGTCCGTGACAGCACAGGTGGGGCCTGACACATTCCCATTTGGCAAAAAACATGCTGGACCACCAACTTGAACGCTTGGTGTACTGCGTGGCCTTGCACACGTTCCTACTTTGCGGTCAGTCCTCCGAGTCTGGCTTCGATTGCACATTTTTCATACTTGCACGGTAAGCTTTTCATGCGAAACAAGATGGCAGGGGCTGTCTTACAGGGGCTGTCCTACTCGTATGGTGGATTTAAAGGGAACACCTTTGGTCTTTCAACCATTCCACGGGTACCTTCCCCTATTCTTTCACGAGATCCTTCTTTCTAGAAAGCCTGAAAACCATGAAAAAAACAGCGTTTTGTTTGAAACAACGATGGTTGAAAAGAATGGGGAATCAACCCCTAGAACCATGCTCAAAATCGGGAGTAAAGCCCATCTGATGTTTTTCCGCCGTAGGGTGAGCGCCCAAATGAACACCTTGGACAAGAAATGGAGAAAAAACCCTGCGCATGGCCTGATCCGGCAAAGAACCCATCTTTGTTTCGAAGGCACCTCCACAGGGAGGTGTCTTGACTCGACCGAAGGCCTTTCATATCTGGCTGTGGGTCAAAACCAATGGTACCATTTTGGGGTAGGTGCACCCATTTTCGTCTAATTTAGTGGTTGGATTTGGATGGTCACTGGGGGATAACCGGGATTTTGACCCATGGCCATCTGTCCTCTCAGAGGTAGGGCGTACAGGTGCAGGGGACTTCTCTAGTAGTCCTGACGCCAGGCCCCCAGATCCCAATTTGGTCGCTGTTTTTTGGACCGGTCGCATCCAACGGGCGAATTCGGAGAAAACAGCATCCCGGTTCAGGCGAAACTCGCTTTGACTTTCCCTACATCCTTGATGCCGGTGGCAAATGAAGACTGAACCAAAGTGGCACCAGTGGATACGGGCATCCTAACCAAACTGACTCGGACATCAGAGCCACGACGGACTTTGGTTGAGCGGGCAGCTTGGTGTCACTTTGGGCCCTCCTTTTCTCTCGACATAGGCACCCCGAACAGAAAAAGCGGTGGGCCATAATGGAAACCACCTGATCCACCTTTGGCTCACAAGGCTTCCCCTCATGACGGGTTGGCTGCGAATTCTGGGGGCAACTGGCGGTATTTTTGATGGCCTGCTTGGCCAGGCTGGGGGTCGGGCGTGGTTGCCCTAAAAAGCCAGTAACACCTGGTATCATTCTTCCATGGCAATGTGATCGCAAGGCCAACCTCGCAATCTCACTTCCCCGGTGCATGGCGCAAAAAAAAATAGGTCACCAAACATTTTCTTTTGCCAGGAGCCACAAAAACCGATGGACACGTCACACCTATTTAAAAAAAAAAAATGATGGGAAGTGAGTTATTTTGCACGGGTCCCAAAACCCAAAGACTCCCCAAACCCGGTTCGACTGGCTCGACTGGCTCCTTCATTCTCTGGCTCCATGGCCGGCCACTCATCAGGTGAATGCGCAGGGTCGGGAGTTATACAAATATCGTCCCCGCCTCTTGTCCTTCAATATTGGTCCTACATGATTTTGCGCATGCAACCAAAACATCCCATCCACGTGAACTTAAAAACATGCAGGACGATTGTTGCCATTTGCAGCACACACCGTGCCAGGTGGAGGAGCTGAACGCACAGCCTAGAACTCCTCCCGTCTGGGAAGCTTCGAGCCAGTCCGATTCACTGACCGGTTTGCGAGTAAGACACAACCCCTACTCAAGATACCCGCTTTTTGTTAAGGGTATTTTTGGGAAAACCTGGCTTTCCATGGTAAATACCTCCTGTTTAGTAGAGTGTCAACATGATACCCTGAAAAAAGAAGGTATTTGGAGTAGGGGGCATATCATCGAAAGGGCCGCTGTTGGTTTGCCTAGTGCTCTCCTGCAAATTCACCCATGGAACCCACAAAAAAAATCGGCTTTGTAGCCAAACGTGCTCTTGAACACCTTTGGAGCTGCACGTTGATTTGTAGGGGATTATAATCCTTGGCAGCAGAACCGCTTCGCTGTCCACAATTCGCTGAGGCAACTCTGCAACTTCGACGGCACTCGGTGCTCCTTCAAGTACCGAGCGCAAAGGCTCCTTACCCTCGCTGAGCAAAAAGGAGAAGATCAAACGGCTTACTTTCTGTTGAGCAAACCTTTTTGGTTTGCGTGACAACAAATTTATCATCTGGGACAATCTGGCTCGCAAAACTGCTAAACTCGTCTCCTGTAGCCTGCGGTATTGAACGGAAACAACTGTTGCGTCTAGAACACTCAACTTCTGCACGACTGGCAAAGCGGGCATCTCTTTCTCGTACACCATCTTGATGGAGAAAACGACCCAGTGAGACTGCACTGAAGGCAAGGTTGGGAGATTGAAACCCAACCAGTTTGAACATATGTTTGCCATTGCTTGAACCATCTCTGCTAGGTTTCAGTCAAAGCCACGGCTTTGCTCAAATGGACCCGTCTCCAGGGAGAACGCCGGAAACGTGATGTTTTTTTGGCAAAGTTGGTTTCAACCGCGCGACATTGGCGCGGTCAGTGAGTCAGGAGACTCTGCAAGAGTCCTGGTGCTCCTGGGGTAGCTCCTGGTGCCATGTGTCAACAGCCAAAATGGGTGGGGGGCGGTTCCCCCGAAGTCGGTTTCTCTTCGACCAACCCCCAAACGGCGATATCCCAAGGCTCGTTCCCAGAACTACGTTATCACTGCACTGCCCAACTTCCAGCATGGCTCCATGTTCGCAATCTTCGCCTTCCCAGGCTTGTGGATTTCCATGAAAACACGCAGCGCCCGCTTTGGGGTAGAACACCAGAAGCAAACCAGCACCCCCCCCCCCCCGCTACCGCATTGTCCCGCACATGGAAAAGAACAATAGTTCGCCCTTGTTACCCACACTAAAATGCAAAAGCACATATCCCTACCCCTTCCCAGGCTCTCACACGCAGATGACACACGGGTGACACGCAGGTGACATGCAGTGACACAGTAAAACTACGGCTGTTTGCAGCGATCTAGGTGACATGCAGGGGACAGGCAAGTGACACGCAGTGACATGCAAGTCCGAACTTGCTTGCCACTGCACGTCACTGACACGCTGTCACTTGAGAGTCATGACCATGGGCATCCCGCAACTAAGAAAAAGGGCAGTAGTGTTGCTAACTAGAGTCTATTGAGCAGTATTCGGAGGGTGCTGGAGCAGAAACTAGCAGAGCGGGTAGCCCAAGTCGGCCCCAATCATACCATGTAGTAAGCGCGGCATGTGATTATGTCAAACGCGTTCCTGTTTTGGCGCACGACATGTTCGTGTGCGCATCTGTGAATGTATCTTCACGTGTATGTAGAATGCCGCTCTCTTGTTTCTTCTCGCTGCATGTTCACTGCGGCTGCGGGGCTACCGCAACCAAAGTTTGCTGAAGTGATGTGTTCTGCGCCGGGACTGTACCCCTAGCTTCATCTATCTGGTTGCCTTTTGGAGGGTTCTCTTTTTGGGGTTGGTTTCAAGGGAAACCACAAGGAAAACCACAATTGTTCGGCCATGCCCGTCCTCCTGGATCTGCAGACGACCCTCGCGGGAGAGGCTTGGACATCATTTACATGGAACGAAACAACACCTGTCATGTTCTAAGGTTGGACCCCCCCCCCAAAAAATGGGCTGTCTTCTTGTTGGTTTCCCTGGATTTCCAACAAAAAAGGGGCTACCCGGAGGCAAATAAACCCATTTGGTTGCCCTTGAAGTCTGCATGTGGTTTCCCATTGACCCACAAGCAGGGATTCAACTCCAAGTCCAAACCAAGCTGGAACCCTGATTGGCCATTTTGAGTGGGGCAGCCACCGGAAGAAAACAAAACAAAACTGGTGCCACTGAAACACTGAGGAGTCCAAACCAACTGGTAGACTGGTAGACCATTGACTGGGGCACCCCCCCACTCTGTTCCGAGAGGAGCTTCCCTGCCGAAGAGGACTTTTTAGGATGTTGCAAACCCGCCCCAGGCGCTTGGCGCGTTCTGAGGAAAACACAACAAAAATGGGGCACTTCTCAACCGGGGCCCAACAAAACCAACATTTGCTTTTTCGCCCCCTGGGAAAAATACATGTTTTCCAGTAGTGAAATTGATTCCCCTTAAAACCAACAGGGGAAAATAAACAACATTCTTAAGCCAATGGAAGAAAAACCATGCCTTGGGTTTGCTTTGGGCCAACTGTTCAGCACCAAGAATACGGTTACATTTCATCCACGCTCCTCCGGTTGTCTCTTTTCTTTGCAACAGCATCTTTCGCCCTGTAGCCAGTTACAAGGACCCTATAGCGTTCAAGCCGAATTGATAGGCGCACGTAGAATGAGGGTGCAACCAAAAGCCGTACGGATACTTAGTCAACTGTGCAACCTAAGTGGTTTCACCTCAAACATGTCACTAAAGAAGCCTTTCAGCTTGTCCGCGTGCTTTGCAGGAATTTGATGGGCGCATGTTCAGCTTCTTGTTTTCCCTTGTGCTTTCAGGTGCTCTCTGTTTCCCGACACATGCGGATTGAAAGACGCGGATATGAAGTCCCCAGTCCAACGGATTCCTTTCAGCTTGCCTTATTCGTGGTTGTAACCTTTCAATGATAAGCACATGCACAGAAGACCCATTGTCTTGTGGACAGTTGTAATCTGGGGATCTTGAGAGCCAGTCGACACCCGTGACAACATCCAACACATCGCACTGAATACTATCATTTACCTCCATTTGCTTAAGCCCCCAGGAGAAAAAACAAACTGCTTCCAGTAGTGAAATCGATTCCCTTGAAAACCAACAGGGAGAAATAAAATAAAACATTCATTTCAGCAAATGGACCTGTCCCTTGCTTGGCATCCCTAAGCAGCAATTTCCAGCCGGCTTCTCTACCCCAAGTCAAGAACCCTTTCGGTGCCTCGGAAGCTGCGAAAGCCGAGTGTCTTTGGCCCAATTCGGGTTGTGGCTTTCCTGCAGACCAGAACTAGGTCCCCCCGTAGAGAGGGTAGAATAAGGGTAACTTTTTGTTCGGTTTTGTCTATTTTAGTAGGGTTGCACCCTCTCCAAAAAAAAACAGTAAAAGGGCACTACTGAAAAACTTAGCAAACCAAAAGGCACACTCCAAAAACACACCAAAGCCCATGTGGTTTCTCAGAGACCCATGAGGTTTCGCTGGCTGAAGGCTCTGCACAAAAACCAGGTCTCCTTTTTGCACGTGGTTTTTTCCCCCAAGCCACCAACAAACCTCCCGAGAGCGGCCTGGAGCAGCAGCTCGTCCACCAACTTGGCGCAGGGCTTCGGGAAGGCCACGTCCGCCATGGCCACGCTGAGCTGCTCCAAGTAGTCCTCGACCGAACCGAAGAGACGAGACAAGGCGAGACGGAGACCCGAGAGCCACGGGCTGCCGTTGCCCAAGCGGAACTGGAAGGCGTTGTTTCGCGGTTCCTCTTTTTTTCAGGTGGAAAGGTGCAAAAGTTGAAGAAGAAAAAACGCGAGGGAACCCGGGCGAAACTGAAAACCATAAAAAAGAAACGAGAGGAAACCGGGCGAAACTGAAAAAAACAAGATTCCATGCAAGCTGAGAATTCGTCGCTCACATGAGAAAGTGAGCGAAAATACAACAACCTGGAGATTCAAACGTCAAGGAATTCCTAGTCATTCTCGGCATTGACCCTGTTTTGGACGCAAACGCCCGCAAATTACCGCAAACGCCTAGAAACAGGAAACACCCGCAAATTGCCGCAAAACGCCCGCAACAAAAAGGGCAAACGCCCGCAAAAAAGCGCAACAAAAAAACGCAAAACGCCAAAAACGCCTTGAGAACCAGAACGCCTAGGAATTCCTCGGCAATGGAATCTCCAGAAACATCTCAGCACAAACATCTAAGCAGAAATCCCTTCTGGCGCCAAGCCCTGGAAACATCGCTTGCCACCAATGAAATCAATTCCAACTAAGGGGACATATGCAAGAGTCTTCATTTCAGCCAAGGGAAGATTGAAAAGAGGGGCTGAGGAGTGGCGAAAAAAAAAAAAAAAAGAAAAAAAAGAGAACGGCAATCCAATGTCTGACGGCCATTCGGATTTCGGTGGCCAGTCGCAGCATTTCCCGAAACGGGACATGCAACTGGAGACAGGTGATCAGCTGTTGGGACCCAAAGCCGAACGGTTATCCTAAAACCAGAAAAGATCGGCTTCCTCAGTTGTTCAGTGACCCTGGCTGAAAAAAAAGGGAACCCTTTTTGGGAATACAATTTCTATTTGGGCCCTTTTTTGGGAACTTTCGACCTTTTTTGAGTTGGGCGGCCACCAAGGGGAGAAGAATCGGTGCCACTGAACTGAGCTTCAGGTCGGCTTTGAGGAACTGAGAGATGGCAACAGGGACGGCGAGGACGGCGGCCTTTCTCGGTCTTGAAAATCAAAGTGCGGGAATTCCCGTTAGCCAGCTATAGGGAAATGAATTGCAGAGCAGAATTATTGATGGCATAGAAGCACCCATCGCATGTATCTACACGGAAAAAGAAGAAGACCAAACCCGTCTCTAGTGCTTGTAATTGGTTCAAATATCTGTAGAAGCATGCAAGGAAGCTAGCCATGGTTCACAGGAGCTTAAACCTTCCTCACAATTGGTGCCCGTCCCAGCCTCTTCTTCCCATACACTACCAATCGTGAGTGATTAAATTTCACACAAGAGGCGCCGATTGATTCACCGGCCCTACAAACCCTATTGCTAGCAATATGTGCTTCGAAGACCTGACAAATACAAACAACCTGTCCTTACACATCTGAAACATATGCCTTGCCAATGTTCCTTGGAACACCTTTGCGCGTGGATTTCGAAATACTTAGTGCCTAAACGGGTTGTAAATAAACCAAAACCCCCCCCAGGAACCGCGATCCGTCAAAAAGATCCGGCCTGGATATAGATGGACAGATCGGTGCGGGCTCGATTCAGCCATGACCACCAGCTGGGGAAAAGCCCACCCAGGCTAAACTGATCCTCGGAGTCTCAGGTGGACGCCATGAACATTTGCGCCCACGACTTTGCTGGGCTGTCCTCAGATGCCCCGCTAAAAGTGACTCACTTTTAGTGGGTCAAATGGAAAACCCCAAAGGCTCAAAAGCTAAGAAGCTAAGGAACCGGATGGCTGGGAGCCACCAAGTTTGGAGGTTTCCTGATGGAAAATCATAGCCATGCCATGGGCTTTTCAAAAGCCCAGTTAACCCCCCAGCGAACATCCCAATCCAACCACTAAAATAGGTTCTAAAATGGGTGGTGAATTCACCTATCCCAAACTGGTACCATTGGTATTGAACGATGGCTAAGTTGGTTTACCCCTTTACTTGGCTACAAGGAAATTCTGCCATATACTTCCATCGTTGTGCAACAGGGCAAGACATGAAAGCATAAACAACATGGTTGCAATTTCCTCTCACCAATCTAAAATGACGGAGCCCGAAACAGCACACTTCATCATGGAGAGGTCGCAACCACGGGAGGCGCCATAATTTGCCCAGAAGCATGCTCAACCAACCCTAGCCTCTTGCAGGACACTGTTCGTCAGGAAACACTGTTCGAACTTACATTGGTGAATACCACTTGTTGCTATACGGGGGTTAACTTCATACACTAAAACGAGGACATTTGGAAGGGACCGAAACGGCCCAACGAAGCAAAAAGTTCTCCGGCTTTTCCTATTCGAGTAAGGCGTGTCTCGGTAGATCTAAACGGAGTGGGAAGGATTTGGACATGGATGATGGTGCGTCTTGGTGTGTGTGTGCCGCTTGTTTTTTGAGGAAGCCAAAGACAAACCTTAGTATGTTTCGGGTCCCCCCCCACTTCGAGCTATCCGTTTCGGAGGAGTCACATAAAGCTCAGAAGGCAGTGCTTCCTTCACGGGGTCGTGGAGATTGTCCCGCAAGACCTAAGCCAGAGGTTGGCTCAACCGTTCAATCAGCTTGCCATTAGTTGGTGGCTTGGATTGGCGCTTTGGATTTGGGTTTGAACCCTTGGTTCTTGTGGGTCAATGGCTCCCCCCTATGAAGATGGGGGAAAGAACAAATGGCGACTGGAAACATGGAGTAAAACCTGCGGTGCCCTGGTGGTTTAACTTTGACCCATATCCGGTTGGTGCTTTGGATTGGGTTGGATTTGAACCCCTTAGTTCTTGCGGGTAGGCATCCCCCCCTTAAATAAACATGCAAAGGGAAGCTCATTAGACGTGTTGCCACATAAGCGTAAACAACCTCCTGGTGGCTTCCCTAAATGTTTGAGAAACCTCCTGTGGGCTTACTTGGAACACTCCGGCCTAGTCGGGTGTGACAGGATCCTCCAACGGGAAAACACCGCACACTTTGACAAACGCCAAACCAAACAGTCCCAGAACCCAGTGCAACTGAAACTTCGTTCCGTGAGATCTGCTGCTTTTGAACTGCAATATTTGTGAAACTGGACTTGGGCAATGTGAGATGGCAGGCAAGCAGATCGAGCAACACAACGGCCAAGTGAATGCATCTCCTTGGCAAAAGGCGCAAAGCCAACTCTAGTGCACTTGTTGGACCTGTAATGGACATGATTCCGCGCAGCCTTGTGGTGCGAAAAGCATCGGACAGCCAACAAGTCATAAAGCTGGCCATCAAGCGGCGCCGGATTTTTGCTGGACGCAACACCTGTCAGCAACACATCTTTTTCTGGGCAAATGTCCGTTTAAAGCCAGCTCAAAACGGTCCGGGAAGAAATGCGCACACACACACACGTGTAAGGGTTTTCATTCTGTGCCCACTTGAAGCCAGAAAGGTGCTGCTACCGGCCCAAACCGGTATATCAAGAACCATGGTTGGGTCATACCCCTTGCAACCTGCTTTAACACCTAGGGTTCAACCTCCATAATGGCAAGGACCCCACATGTTGATGATAAAACTCCGTGGGCAATCAATGGCTTTGTTGCTGTTGGCCCCTCTGCAAAACAATTCTGCAACTGTTTGTAGGTTCAATCCGCAAATTCAACTTGATTTCAACCAACAAGTTAAAGTCTAAAGATCCGTTACCCAGTAGCAATCATGATGGTGGCGGTTTTTGTTCACCCCCACATTGCTTTGGTTTAGATCCCAGCGCCGATCTGAACATAAATCGTTGCCCGTCTCCAGATTGTTAGGCCCAAGTTCAACGCCTGCCGAAGAAAAAAAAAAGTCAGCCGGGCGCCAGCGGCGCGCAAGGCGCGCCGACTGGGCTTTTCTGTCTGGGCTGGACAAATGCAGGGCCCAATCCGAATGTCCATAAAGTCCCTATTGGAAAGCCACTACAAAGGGACGTCTTGCGTTTCTCAAGGTGAGGATTAAGGATTGCCTCTGAACAGCCCGGTCTGTTGTGACATCCACCCTTTGTTCTCTCATTTCTGGTGGTTCAAAGAGAAACCACCCCAAAAGTAAAAACCCTTTTGAAAACCCTCAACATGCCATTGACGGACCTGTGAAACTTGCTAATGCTCAGGGAATGGCCTTTCGGGTGTTGAGAATGAACCGGAAGGGGATTCCCTTAAATGAAACATTGCAGGATGGTTTTTAATAGGGGTCATTCCAATCCTCATTCCATGCCTATCGAACCAGCAAGAAAACACCTCCACAAAACTGCCAAGCCCTCAACATGCAACTGACGGACCTTTAAAACTTGCTGGTGGGTGTTGGCATAAATTCCTAGGGGTTCCCCTAAAGGAAACCATGCTGAGAATTCCCTCAAAGCGCCCACAGAAAACGCGGCGAACGAGAAACCACTTCCGAGTCATTCTAGGGGTTGATCCCCCATTCTTTTCAACCATCGTTCTTTTCAAAAACCGGCTGTTGCCCCTAGGTTTTTGATGGTTTCCTGAAAAGAAGGATCCCTGGAAAGAATGGGGAAGGTACGAGCCATGGGGCGTTCTCGGAGATGTCCGAGTAAAACTCCTCCTGTCCCACGGCGATCTCCACCCGAAACATGGTCACTCCATCCACCTGAAGTTCAGGCCCCCCGCTTTGGAGCCAGCGTGTTCGATGTTTTGAGAACCGTTTTTCTTCCTTAAAGTTTAGAACCTAAACTTAATTAGAAGTTGCTTAGAGCAACACTAGTTGAACAAGCCCAGCCTTCTTGAACACATTGGTGTGTGCAACAACTAAAGGAACCAGGGCAGAACAAAATGCCTGGAAAAGTCAAACAAATCTAGCAAAACATGGTTCAACCTGGCCCGCCAAAAGTACAATCCAAGGGTACCCTTGGACTTAGCCTGATAGGTACCTGCATCCTTTTGTCGAAAATGACAAACACTGAAAAGGATGTGGTATTTTTTTGGTGATGCTTCTTAGAACCGGAGTTAGAACAATTTGCTTCCCCTCAACAACTCAAAACCGGTGGTTGATGTTCTGAGCCAAATCTAAGGTTTCAACCATGTACCCCTGGGTAGGTGCCCCTGCAAAATACCTCAGAAGCTCATACACAATGGGTACATAAATGGTATTTTTGCAATATTTCCCAGTGGGATACCCCCTGGTACCTGCCCAAGGGCACGTGGTTTAGCCCGACCAAACTTGATCCTACTTTGTTCGAAGCCGAATCCGCCTTCTCGTTCAGGCGGACTACTGAGAGCACCTGGAAAGCGGGATCGGCCAAGGATTCGCTGGCGACCCATGCCTGGCGACGTGTTGGCAAACCCCAACCGCATCTCAGTTCTTCAGTGACCCGGGAGAAAAAAAAAACAAAAAACGGGAACCCATTTTTTGGGGGAAGTTCCCATTTTTAGAAACCAAAACAAAGGGACAAATAATAGGTGCCACTGAACAACTGAGGCAGCTAAAGTACAAGAGCAGTGCCAAAACCCCGTTGACTTTTGGTTCTCTCTCTCTCTCTCGCTCTGTCGCGGCCTGCTCAGGTTAAGCGAAGCCTAAGGCATGCATTGTGGGGGGGGGGGGGGGGCGGACAGGGTTTACCCCCAGCTTATGGCTTATATTATGCCTTACCACAACACCAGGTAGAACCACCTGAGCAGTGCCGAACACCTAGTGCTACTATCGAACCATTTGCATGGAACATGTTGCCATGCTTTTGCTACTACTTGGACACGTTCTGTTTTCACCACCTTCGTGGAACTCTCGCGGCGACTTGGACGCTTCACGGAACCAAATCCCTGGACTCGACGAAGCTCCTGGTTTCTTCCTTTGCTACTTGCAAAGGAGCGAAGGAGACAGGAGCTGGGAATTTGTTTTTTTGGCCATGGGTCAAAAGCCAATCCCCACTAAAATAGACTAAAATGGGTGGTGCGCCTACCCGAAAATGGCACCATTGGTTTTGACCCGCAGATCGCAACGTGAGCTTTTTGTTTAGCTCCGGACTTCGGTCTGCTACATGGCTGCCAGCCACTTGCGCACTCCTCTCCCTTTCCCGGGCTTTCGAGTCGAGTGCGCGGGATCGACTTTTGGAGCTTTCGCGGGGCCTTGGTCCTCAACCCAACTCGTGCTCTTGGGGGTTCTTGGCGCCTCACCTATGGCCAGGGTATGGGCCGAGTCCGCCCATCCTGCAGATGGGCGGCAGCCAGCTTTCATTTCAAATGTCGGGGCCTCTTGAATAACCAGGTCCTCCAGTAAAAAGGTAAGGGTAACCCTCCCCCCAAAAAGGGCAAAAGGGCACTACTGGGGGACCTAGTTAACACACGCTCAAAGTACGCAAACACTTCATCTTGGGGAACATCTCAAAACTAGAAGGCGGTAAAGGCAAGAAGCTGTCATGGAATCCTGGCCACCACGTGGTTTCGCCCTAGGACTGCAATTCATGAAGCCTCGTTCAGGGCTCATTGTTCGGAAACATGGGGAAGGCTGGTTCAGGGATGCTGGAATACGTGAATCCCGCGGTTGATTCCAACCATTATTTTCAATCATCGTTCTTTTCAACAACCTGCTGTTTTCCCCTGTGTTTCTAGAGGTCTTCTGGAAAGAAGGCTCCTTCGAAAGAATGGGGAAGGTACCCCTAGAGTAAATCCTTAAAAGCCACGTCACAAGCTTTCGCCGGCGCGCCTCCGCCGCCACATGCCGCGCACGGCCGCTACGGTCCACGTCATAGACGCGGAAGGCGCAGTTGGGCGGGTGCGGCTGGTAATCAAAGGCCGCCTGCATGATGCCTGGAACCGCTTGGCTGTCCAGTGAAACCGGGAACCGAACTAATGGCTTCTCAAATAGGCTGGAAGTAGGACCCCCGCAAAAATGTTAATTTTCGCCTGGTAAGTGGAAAGCAAAGGGAACCCCCCCCCCAAAAAAAAAGGGGAGCTAATTCTGGGGAAGAAAATTTGTGTGACACCATTTGAGAGCTTCCGGGCCTGCAGGTGTCATCCCCTGAAGTGATACAAAGTGCTGGTACTTGTTGCAATAAAAATCGGGTTTGACCAACCATGTCTTCCACTGGCAACAGGTCAATTCCGGCAACAATCGACAATGTCAAGCCTTTTGCAGTGCCTTGGCATATCCATTGCCCGAAGCATTCCGAAATTGTGCTTTTTGACACATGAGCCGTCGCCAAAACCCTTAAGTGCCAAACTGGAATATCCACGGCCTTGTTTGGCGAAGCTTAACTACCAACTGTTTGGTATGTAAATCTTGGCTAAGCCGTTTTCACACGTTTCTCGCGTTTGTAACGGTTGCCACAACAGGGATCCTTACATTATACACCTGAACATTGCCTTGTAAATGGTGGTTTCCCTTCATTTTGGTGTTGAAAAAGCCACATGTTTCAAATGGTTGCAACATGAATTTCTTTTAAGGAGCCCTGCACAACTTGTCTATTCCTCACTTGCCCAAAGGATCTGGACATAAAAGGTTAACCTTTTGGTCACTAAAAATAAACCAAACCCGGAAAACTAAAAGGTCAAAAGGCCGATTCGCTTTGGGCAAGTAAGATTCATGTGACAACCTGTCCATCCACATTTGTTTCAAGGTTTTTTGACCAATCCCTGAAGTATTCAGCCGATGTCAGGACCCGCTGCTTTGGGCATCATCACCTGCAACTCCTATGTCCTGATGAGTTCAGACGGTCCGGTTTTTCACAACTCAACTTGTCTTTTCTTGATTGACGTTGGGTTTGGGGAGCAACAATCTTCAAATTTTAGCACTTAAGTGGGGATTTCAACCACTAAACCACAATAACCAGCACCCCCCAACGGCTGGCCAAGGCACATCGATTTTGGGCAAAACGATGTCACTTTATGTCTAAGTGACTGCAAAAGCAATTCGCTATTAAGTATCACTCATGTGTACTTAGTGCAATTTGTTTAATGATACAAGTGACCTTCCAGGGTCCTTCAAATTTTAGCACTTAAGTGGGGATTTCAACCACTAAACCACAATAACCAGCACCCCCCAACGGCTGGCCAAGGCACATCGATTTTGGGCAAAACGATGTCACTTTATGTCTAAGTGACTGCAAAAGCAATTTGCTATTAAGTATCACTCATGTGTACTGAGTGCAATTTGTTTAATGATACAAGTGACCTTCCAGGGTCCTTTGGCGGCTTGCAGGGGGAAGTGGAGGCTGGCAAATTTGAGGTTTGGAGGGCAAGTTTGAGGTTCGGAGGGGATCTCGAGGAGCGTGTCACGGCGTGAATACACGGCGTGTCGGGGGGTGGCCAATTGCCGGCACATGTACATTGAGCGGTCACTTATTTGGGATATGAGCGTGTCACCAGCGTGTCGCCCCCCCCCCCTCGCGCGTTGCATGTGCAATGATCATACATGTCAGCCCAACCTTTCAACTGGATCCCCTCTGGTATCCTGAAGTGACGTTTCAACAAAAGTGATCTTTCACTGCACTTTGATGTTGGCAACACATCTATGTGACTACAAAATCATTTTTAAGCAAGTGCTGGTCAATTGCCGGCACTTCACCCGGGGCCAATTGCCGGCCATTGGGGGGGCCTGGAAGAAAAAAAATAAAATGTTTCCCAACAACAACCATGTTTTCACAGTAACACTCCCCCATTCACGCTTGTTGGACGTTCATTTCACAGTACTACATGCCTACAGTTTCCATAGATATCAGGACCCCTCTTCAGGCATCACATTGCAGGTGTTTTCTGAATACACAAGGATGACTCCTCCAAGCATTGCCAAGTCAACGGCCCTGGAGGTGCTTGACAGTAAAAACTCGTCCAAACCCAGTAAAACTTGGAGCCGGAGAGCCAAGCTAAACTGAATCGGGGCCAGGAGATGTGGCTTTCAACCCCAAAATCATGTCGACCCCAAAAACCCAGCGACACCCCCACTATCAAAAAACTGGGGTTGATTAATATGGGGTCAACATTCTCAGCAACTCAGTTGTTCAGTGACCCTGGGAAAAAGGGAACCCTTTTTTGGGGAAGTGTCCATTTTTAGTGGGGCAGCCACCGAAAAAAAGAAGAACAAAAAGAAAAGGAGGAAAAAAAAGTGCCACTGAACCACTGATAAACACTCGCCTTCGTTGAGGGTGTTTGGTCAGTCATGTTGTCTCTTCCCGGCAGACTTTCGGTCTTCCCGTCCCTGCGAAAGCCGCCGGATGCGTTGAGGATCGGTTTTCAAGCACTCGCCCGTGGATTTGTCGGGGTTCTTACCCCTTAAAACTCCAAGCCCTGGGGAAGTTAATCTTTTTCAGCCATATAGCCCATGTTACCCAAAAAGTTGAAAAGTTGTGTTTTTTAAGAGGTAAGGGTTTGTTCACCCGTACGAAGCCTAGTAGCTCTCTTTGGCACATGAGGCATGCTTCACTCCACAGTAAAAGCCCGATCTGTTCCAAGCACTCCCCGGTGACTGTGGCTCATAAGTTCCTGCACCCGTGGGGATGATTTGAAGCCACCCACTGCCTGGCAAGGAGCAGGGTACCACACAGGGCAATTCCAACAAAGGCGACCCGGACCTGTCACGACGTGTGGGACTCGACCGGACGGGTCAAACGAGAAAAACGTCCGAGGCGCCGCCGTGGCAAACCATCAGCACCTTTGGGGCGCTCCGATGATCTTGCAGTCGCCCAAGCCTGCGACAGCCGACTTTTGCACGTCTCGGAAGGCCTGGAATATGGTTTAGGGTTTAGGGTTCAGGGCTTAGCGTGTAAGCTTTGCGTTGAACAGTTCCTTCCCCCTGTGCAGGGTGTATTGGGTGTGCAGGCGGGGACAAAGGAACCTCTCTGAAAGCTGAAACTGGGCAAATGCAACACAACGGTTCCGAATTCAGACGGCAACTGGGGTTGGTACCAGTACATGAACATAACTACACAACATAAATATGTGTATACATAATATATATATATATATCAACTGTCAAAAGTTGATGCATGTAGGTAAGAATCTCTAGTACCAGGGCAGGCCATACGCGGCTCGGGCACAAGATAAGTGACGGACGCCCTTCCGGCTATTGCAGTAAGTGCCTACTTTCACCCAAACACACAACGCCCATGTCTTTTGTGGAGCCAACGCCTACCAGCAGGTGTGTCGTTTCATTTGGAGGGTACCCCCTTTTTGACAGTTTCAGGGGAAACCGACAGGACAACCACCATTTTGGTGGCCCCCCTTAAAAAAGGCACAGCGAACACGCAGACCCGATCTCGTTGGCTTTGACGCCGGTTCTCGGGTTCCAGCAGGAAACTGATTGAAACTTGCGGCCCATCCACAAAGGATCCCCAGCCAGCTGCAAATGGTGAGGCCCTTCTACAGAACTTCCCATTTACCCCAGCGAAATCATCATGTCCATGTGGGTGAGTCTTTTTGTGACTTCGTACCCCTTGTTGGATGGTTTTGACGGGAAACCAAAAGGAAAACCACCCTTTGGGTGGGGTGTTTTGAAGGGAAACCAAAGGAAAGGGGCGCACTCAAAAACAGGACACGCCCATGTCTCTCTTGCGGGGCCAGGTCGCCACTTCTTGAGCTGAACTGCGCGGCGCCGGAAGGAGCGTTCGGTCTCCTGACCCGAAGGCGAATAAATTTTAGTCAAGGGACAAAGGCAAGGGAAACCGAATTGAGGGTGCTTTCTGGGCTGTCCTCAGATCCCCCGCTAACAGTTTAACTTTTAGTGGGTTAAACGGAAATCCCCACTAAACAATAAAAGGCTAAAAAGCTAAGGGGATGGCTGGGAACCACCAAGCTTTCAAAGGTTGGACCCCCCAAACTGGTGTTCCTTTTGGTTTCTCTTCCAGACCAAGCAAAGGTACCCTAAACACACACACACACAATTGAACATAAGGGGTACATAACTACTTGGCCACAGCCGAGCGAGGCGCCGAATACTACTTCTGGGAGCATAAACGCTGCATCAATTGTGGAAGGCTGTCCATGAATTCACAGGCCGGCTACTGCATGCAATGCCATTCACAGTTCCTACGTGGAAGCAGACGCATTTGCAAGTTCTGTCTAGCACAACGTTCGCGGCTGGCAATGTCGCCGTTGGCGGCTGCGCACATGCCTTCCTAAACGTGCTTTACTCCATAAACACATCTCAACAGCAAGCTTCACTTCCAGATCCGTGGCTTATTCGAAGCACAACCAAGCTGGGCTGTGTGCGTTGGCCAGTTGACAGGTGGCAGAAAGTGCATGCCTTGATGGATTCACACGTCAGTGCGTCACAGTCCACAAATTTGTGGTATTCTCGCCCCCCCGGATATTCTCCACCCCCATCTCATTCAACTCCATCAGCCCAAGGAATTCGGTGGAAACGGGGGAAAAAAAAAACTCCATCAGCCGCATGCAACAATTAGTGGAAACACAAAACAAACACACAACGCCTGGCCGAGCTGTTGCCCACGGCAACTAGATACCACGAAACATCACCCTGATCGGGTCGTGAGTCATGAGCCCTCCGCGGCCCATCCAGAAGGGCACGCCGAAAAACCGACGCGAGAAGCAGCACCGAGCCCTCAAAACACGCCCCAGTTTGCGGGCACAAGAATCGGAGCGGCGAGCGCCCTCAAAAAAACCCAGAAAATCACCAGAAGAGAGCTCTGGGAACGAGCTCGGCCAAACATCCCGCAGGCCGATGGCGGGAAATCCTGCAGGTACAGGCATATGAGTATGGGTCAAAATTAAACCAGGAACCGGACCGGATTTTTTTTGGTCCTTTCCATTTACCAGGGCAGCCCATTTTGGGGTTACCCTATTTTTGCCCACCACAGCCATATCGTCAAAAGGTTTCGTCCATGAGAGCCAGCAGTTTAGGACGGTCTTGCAATCCACAGCCCGCGCTGAGACTTTCCCTGAGGAAATCCGAAGGGAACACCACCTTTGGAGACGAGCAGCAAGAGAGCTGGCCCAAACGCTTGAGGATTTTTTGCGAGAAGAAAGGGCCTGGTGGCCTGGTGTTCGCGGAACCTGGATCGAAGGAATTCTCAGGGCCCAACACAAAGATGTACCTTTGTGATCAGGCGTATATCTGTATATAGAGGCCAATGACAAGGCAGCCTCATCGCAAAAAAAAGGCCACAAAGAGCAGTTTCAGAGGCAGTGGCCCTGCAGTCAAAGTAGTTGCCCCTCGTAACCTATCCACTTCCAGTATAGTAAACATGATGGATGGATGGATGGATGGATGGATGGATGGATGGATGGATGGATGGATGGATGGATGGATGGATGGATGGATGGATGGATGGATGGATGGATGGATGGATGGATGGACGGATGGACGGATGGAGGGGCGGGCGCGCGAGCGGGTGGGTGCTTGAGTGGGAGGGTGCGTGGGTGATGCTCATGATGATGATGATGATGATGATGATGATGATGATGATGATGATGATGATGATGATGACGATGACGATGATGATGATGATGATGATGATGATGATGATGATGATGATGATGCTGATGACGATGTCGACGATCATGATGATGGTGATGGTGCTGGTCATGCTGGGTGGTGGGGCTGGTGCTGGTGCTGGTGGTGGTAATGATGAAAAGAGACAGACTAAACATATAGTACTGGGATCCGGAAAAAGACATGCGTATAATTTACTGTGCATTTGTTCATAGGGAAAAGAGATTGGTACCCCATTCACAAGACCCAGATTTACGTTTGGGGATCCTCACGGCTTGCAGGGGTAAATCAAGCTCCTCTGAGTGAGGGCCATGATGCCACCACTTGCCATCATGTACACGGCGATGCTTGCAATACTCCTCCTCAAAGTGAGCAACGTCACGCCACAAAGCTCTTTGAGGGCTTCGATTCACATTGATACAAAGGTTAGAGACGGCTTGAAAGAGGTTCTTTTCTCCAACATGGTGTTCATGGCTTTGATAGGGTCGTACGGTCTCAGAAACAACAAAAGCGCATGCGCTGCGGCATGCTGCGGCGAGTTCGGCCGTCGCGAAACGCACCAAACAAATTACGCCTCCCGGGTCCCGACTGATTTTGGGGCCTCAAAATGGGTTGAGGGCCCATGAGGGGTCGGGGTTCTCCATTGCAGGGTGTGGTGGTCTGCATTGGAGGGGTCATGACCCTTAGGGCTATTTTTTTTTCATCAACGAGGGGGTCAGAAAGACCAACGCACTTGCAGCCGCGCGTCCACTTCCTTCCAGTCAAATACGCCTCAGCGTGCGGATGCTCGAGCCGCTGGCCAGATTTGTTTTTCGCCTTGGGTCCTGGAGAAACCTTGTGCCCATGGAGAAATTCACACATTCGTCTCTCTCATGTGTCTGGTTCATTCTCGTTTTCACTGACCCAGTTTTGCAGGTAGTGCGATCTGCGATCTGCGGGGAAAAATGTCAGCTCCTGCAGCTTCTGAAGTATGCTGAAATATAGAATATGTTCCTACAGCTCGCGTATGATTCATGTGTATAACATATATATATATAATATGTATATTAATAATATACATACTGGCGAGGAACCTCGAATACATATGCTACTCATGTTCATGGTTGGTAGCCATCCACGCAGACTTCAGCACTTCAGCCCTTCCGAGTGGCCGAACTCTGGGAAGCACGACAGCTCCTGCGGAGTTGAAAGCCTCTGTCCCAAGTCTCAGTTGACCAAAAGGGCGCAGCAGTCAAAGGTGACTCATTTTTTGGGGCCAATAACAATATGTCAAAGAAATATAGAACAACAGGTCAAACGGTCGATTCGCTTTGGGGTGAGAATGCAAACGGTGAAACTCCTCAGGCAGCACTCAACAACGGCTGCTTTCGGGCAAAATCCCAGGTGCTGCGCAAAAAGGTGGAAGGGTGGTAGGTGCTTTTGAACTGGGTTGCGACCATCTGTCAACTGCCCCAAACGGAGACCTACTGTGTATGGACGAACTCCGTTTGCACCACTTTGAAACCATGAGAATCCATTTTGCGTTGGTATTTGCAGGGGGCTCATCAGAAACCAGGGTTGCTTCGGTGCAGAATTGCATCCATCCACAGTATGCATCCCCCAAACAGGGCGTCGAAGCCTGGCCGCAAAAGGCAGTTGGACCTGGCCAAAAGCTCACATGTCGTTTCTGGTTTGGCAAGAAACTGAAACGGACACGAACACGCACACACACACACATATATATATATATATATATGTGTATATATATATACCTAGATCTTCTTTGAGAACAATTTCCCAACATGTTCCTTAAAAAGCAAAAAAAACGCATTGTTGGAAAACACGCTCATTTACCCAAAAAACACACATTTCGGTTCGACCAGCCATGTTCAAAACAAGTTGGTTTTGGGCTTTCCGCCGATTTCCGCGCATTTTCCGCCGATTTCCGCGCATTTTCCGCCGATTTCCGCGCATTTCTGGTGGCCAAATTTGCTGGATTTGCCACAAAATGGGTGCGGAACATGAAATTTGCAGTTTCCGCGTAGATTTCGGAAATTCCGCTCAATTGGCAAAATGAGCAAAAATAACGTAATGAGCAAAAAAATGTTCCTTTTTGAGGGTCCAGGTATATATAAATATTTTTACGCACGCTAAGGAAGCTGAAGCTCGTAGCTTGAGGGATTGTTCAAACATCCAAGAGGCAAACTGAAAATTCGGCGCATGGATCTCACACACACCTGGGCTGTCAGATCTGTTCAACTTTTAGCGGGCGAAATGGACACCTCCAGTAAAGCCCAAGAGTCTAAAAGCCTAAGGAACCGCACGGCTGGGAACCGCTAAAAGTTGTTCAACTTGTGGTTTAATGCGGAAAACCCCGTTAGTTGGCAACAACTTTTGTTCAGTCCTAACATCCCTTGGCAAAATGCAAAGGGATTAAGCGCATGGGTCTCTCACACACACACCCTTTTGGCCTCAAAACTGTGAGGTGTCCATTCCGTTCGCCTCAGGTTCACTCCTCCACCGTGGAGCCACGATTTCCACGGCTCACGTGGGAATGCACAAAGGTCTGCTCCGCGCAAAGTGGATGGACCTTGCACATCTCAACCCAGTTTGAAAGGCTGAATGTATACGTCCCTTGAACCCCTGGTATGAACCCTAGCTTTTGGCTTAATATATTAATCAACCTTCAGTTGTTTGGCTTTATCAGCCCCCAAAGAACGTAAATACCAAAGGATTGTCTTCAACCATGGTTGTCAAGTGGTGCGAATGGATGTCGCAACATGTCGCAACCATCCACAGCATCAATCTCTACGGGGGCAACCGGGGGTGATTCCTGATGCCCACTGCGTTTGTTATTTTGCTTTTTATCCCAGGGATCTGCTTGCATAACGGGCCGCATCCAAAGAGGTGGCCGGTTTTCGGGCAAGCCGGGTGGCAGTGAGTGCAACAGGGAAAGGTGCCACCCGGCTTGCCGCCCTCAGAGAGGTTGATGCCATGGGTTCTGTGGGGTCATGGTCAAAGGCTGAGAATGTACATGAACCAATGGAAAAAGCCCCTACTTTCGCTGGTGAATTCACCGTTTCACCGTTAACAATGCCTTAATTCTGAGAATCACGCCAAGGTTCAACCTGGCCAGGGTCTTGAGAGATCCGTTGAACAGTCACGTGGAAAGGTGTCTGACTTCAGTTAGTCCTGAAGACCAAACACATCCCCGAGGTACCAACTCAATTTAGATGAATCTCATAGAGCGACCAAACTAAACCAATAGGAGTACCAAACTTGTGACATCCCTCACACTCGTAGCTCAAAATGCCAAATCACATGTCCAGTGTGTCTGTGTGCGTGTGTTTTTGTCGGGAACCCCGCCCAGTTTGGTGTAATCTTCATGGGAACCAGCCCACATTTTGGCCGGATTGCTCCAAAATCCATTTTTTTCAGGGGGAGATGTTCTTGGAAAACACGGTAGATTGGCCAAGAAAGTCTAAACTTGTTCTTCACACTCAAAACAGTCGTCCCCAAAAGCTGAAAGTCCAGGATCCCAGGGAGTGAGGAAGGACCCCATGCCCAGTGAATCTGCTGCGCTTTCGGGTTCGGAGCAGCCCTGCTTCTGATTTGCGTCTCTGGCTGGGACACCGGCCCAAATATGCGGTGGCCTCTTGATTTCCGGTTGAAACCACACCAAAATGATCTCATAAGCCCAGGCGGCACAAACCCAACAGCGAACCTCCCTTCCGGAATCCTGCTAAAAGCTCCGAACCACCCCCATGTGGGCAAAAACCAAGCCATTGCGCTGTTGAAAATACCAGTAGAGCCGGCGAAGCCGGTGGGCGGAAGTTTCAAAAATATAAAAACTATAGATATCTTTCTCTTTCTTTTCTTGACTCTTTTTCTACGTCATTATTTCTTTCTTCCTTTCTTTCCTTAACTTCCTCCCTTCTTTCCTTCTTTCTATCTGTCTTTTCTTTCTTTCTTTCGTTTGCTTGTCTGTCCAACTTTCTATACCTATCTATACCTAACTACCTATCTATCTCTCGTGTTATCTATCTATCTGCCTATCTATCTATCTATCTATCTCTCTATCTCTCTATCTAACTTCTCTATCTATCTCTCTATCTCTCTATCTATATATCTACCCATCTCTCTATCTCTCTATCTCTCTATCTATCCATCTCTCTATATCCCTCTATCTCTGTCTCTCTCTTTCTCTATCTTTCTATCTATCTGTCTCTCTATCTCTCTTTCTTTCTATCTATTTATCTCTCTATCTCTTTCTCTATCTCTTTCTATCTATCTATCTATCCATCTATCTCTCCATCTATCTCCCGCGTATCTATCTATCTATCTATCTATCTATCTGTCTATCTCTCTATCTATCTATCTATCTCTACATCTACCTATGTATCCCTCTGTCTACCTATCTATCTATCTCTCTCTCTCTCTCTATCTGTCTATCTCTCTCTCTATCTATCTATCTATCCATCTATCTATCTATCTATCTATCTATCTATCTCTCTATCTCATAATCTCACGTGTATTTGTCTATCTCTCTATCTATCAATCTATATTTCTAATTATCTATAGATCTACCTTTCTATCCATCTCTCTCATCTTCCTCTCTCATTCTCTCTATCTATCTATCTATCTACTTAAATCTCTATCTACCTACCTATCTATGTATCTCTCTCTATCTCTGTTTCTATCTATTTATCTATCTCTCCATCCATCTATCTATCGGTCTATCTATCTATCTGTCTGTTTATCTATCTATCTATCTATCTATCTATCTCTTTTTCTTTCTATTTATATATCTCTCTATCTCTCTCTCTCTCTCTATCTCTCTCTATCTATCTATCTCTCTCTCTCTATCTATCTATCTATCTATCTCTCTATCTCTTTATCTCTCTCTCTCTCTGTTTATTTATCTATCTATCTTGCTCTCTTTCTTTCTCTCTCTATCTATCTATCTATCTATCTATCTTTTTCTCTATCTCTTTCTATCTTGACTTCGCGTACTACTTTCGTACTTAAAAGTTGCGATTTTCGAGCCCCAGCTGCGAAAGTGGACTTCACGTACTACTTTCGTACTTAAAAGATGCGATTTTCAAGCCCCAGCTGCGAAAGTGGACTTCACGTACTACTTTCGTACTTAAAAGTTGCGATTTTCGAGCCCCAGCTGCGAAAGTGGACTTTGCGTATTTCTTTCGTATTTAAATGTTCCGATTTTCAAGCCCGGCTGCGAAAGTGGACTTCGCGCACTACTTTCGTACTTAAAAGTTGCGATTTTCAAGCCCCAGCTGCGAAAGTTGACTTCGCGTATTTCTTTCGTATTTAAATGTTCCGATTTTCAAGCCCGGCTGCGAAAGTGGACTTCGCGCACTACTTTCGTACTTAAAAGTTGCGATTTTCAAGCCCGGCTGCGAAAGTGGACTTCGCGCACTACTTTCGTACTTAAAAGTTGCGATTTTCAAGCCCCAGCTGCGAAAGTTGACTTTGCGTACTACTTTCGTACTTAAAAGTTGCGATTTTCGAGCCCCGGCTGCAAAAGTTGACCTTGCAAAAGTGCTGCGCCTGCGACGAAATCTGCACTTGACCTTGCGAAATATAGTGCTGCGCCTGCCACGAAATCTTTACTTGACCTTGCGAAAGTGCCGCACCTGCCACAAAACATGTAATTGACCTTGTGAAAGTGCTGCGCCTGCCACGAAATCTGCACCTGAGCTTTCGAAAGTGTTGCGCCTGCCATGCAATTCAATCCTTGAGAAAAGTTGACCTTGCGAAAGTGCTGCGCCTGCCACGAAATCTGCACCCGGGGCGTCTGCCACGCAATTCAAACCTTGCGAAACCTCTGCGTTGCCGTGCCAATGGTCCCGGCGCCGCCCCCGTCCCGAGACCGTCACGAGCCCGTCGTCCGTCAGACGCCGCGACTGAGGTAGCTTTCAGCCAGCTCCACACCAAACCCGCAGAGGGTTGCTCCTTTTCGCAATTTCTATTCCCCCGCCACACGCACACGCATGTTTTCTCTCGCGCGCCTTTCATTCTTTCTTCTTCCTTCCCTGCACCATGTAGCTTTCAATTAGGTTCCGTAACTCGGAAGTTTCCTTCTAAACTTCCTTTGACTAATGTACACCTCTGGGCTGCTTGTGTTTTAGGGCCTCCCACCATTAAAAAAGTGGGTTTGCAATTTTTGGGCTTCCCTTCAAGCCCAATCAGGCTACTCTTACAAAAACACACTGACAATTATCCTCCATTTGCTTAAGCCCCCTGGGAAAAAACAAAAATGCTTCCAGTAGCAACAGGTGAAAATAAAATCATCTTCTTAAGCAAATGGAAGCTATTCCTTAAAAAAAAGTTCTTCGAGGCGCAATGGTGGGCACGGCCAGGGCCTTTGACACTTCGCCTCGGGCAAGGCGGCTCGGGCGGCTCAGTGCTTAGTGGGCTCCGCGCCCCGAAACTTGGGACAAACGACCTGCGAGTTTGGCACCAGCTTTGAGTTTGGCCACCCTGCACGCGCAACATTGGGCGCGCCGATTGTGGAGGGATTCTGCTTTGTGTTTTTGTGTTTTTGGTTGGTTTTCGGGGGGCCGGGGGGGGTGAAAGGAAAGAAAGACACAGGTGTAACAGAAACCAAGGCCAGGTTTTGTTCAACAGTGCCCCAATGTGTCTGCAATCGGACAAAGGGCTCGTTTGAACAAAACCTTCCTCTGATTTGGTGGGGTTGCCATAATGTGCGAAGGCAAGCCTTGGTTTGCTCAGAGCACCCCTCAAAGAACGTCCCAAATAGCACTCCGAGAGCACCCGGCCGTCAATCTTGCAAAAATGCGCCCGCGCCGTCACAAGCACCCCAAACTGCATTCCCCCCGCACCCCTGCCGTCCAAGCACCCAACCGTCATACTCCTAGAGTTTGCGCCCGGATCGCCACGAGTCACCAGCCCTTCAATCAGACAGCACATGCCCCCGCGCCCTGCCGGCAACCTCGCAGAACCTGCCATCAATTTCGTCAACCGCCGTCACCAGCACTTCAAACAGCACCCCAAAAATCACTCGCACCAGCACCCAAACTGCATGCCATAGCACCCTGCCCTCATTCTTGCAACACTATCGCCATCCCCTCAAACAGCACCCCCAAAAAACAGCACCCGCGCCAGCACCCCACACACGCCCGCTTGCGCGGCCAGAAGAGCTTTCAGCTATCTGGGGAAAACACTGTGACAACCCCCGTCCTTGCATTGGAAAATAGCATGTTGGTGCGTCCTGATATACGGAGCCCGTGATTTGTTCTTCCCTCGAAACACGCCCAACACACAAACCTTAGGGAGTCAACAAAACTTCACCACCGATATGATTGAACTGTTGGTGGTTCAACATTCTCATCTAAGCTGGATGCGTTCTCAACAGATTTGCATCGCCAAGGCGCTGCCGGGGCCGTGGGCCCTGTCCTGGACACTTTTGGCCGCTGCAAAAGACGAGGTGCGCTTGCTTGCCAAAAACGTTCTAAAATCTCACAAGCTGGAAGTAGAGGATCCTCTTGGCAGAGGCTTGCCCTTGGTAGTAACACCCTACTAGGTCGCGTTAGGTCATTCCGCGTGAAGACTAGAGCTTCTAGTGGTGTCAAGGACGTCACGCACAGAAAAACGCGAGCGCGAATTTTACGAGACCCATCTGCGAACTTCACAGAGAGCCCCGCTGGCTTCCTGCTTCCAAGCAGCTGCAGCACGCGAGGAGTCTGCCTGAACGGGACACATCAGCAGGACGGGAGCTGAAGGCGTTCAACTTCACGCGCAAAGATTTCCGAGGGCGCAGGGCAGTCGAGCAATTTGAAGCGGCGGGCGAAACATCCCCGCACACCAGTTCAAACTTGGAAGCACAAGCGTTGCTTAACCGCTTCAACCTCAGTCTCGTAACATCCAACTGGCGTTGGGTCAGCGGGAACCCTGCAATTTTCAATGGTCGCGGACCACTCGCTGGCTCCATTTGGAAGTGCTTCAATCACCAAAGATAGTTCCCAATGATGGCACCCCTGCTTGCACAGAGACACCTTGTTCTACTTCCCAGGGGGATCCCTATGCTTCCAGAGCCTATTAAAAAATAGTCGTTGTGACAACCCCGGGTTTTTTGATAAAGCCTATTTTGGATGACGAGCGGCAGCCTCCGTTTTGGACTGGAACAAGGGCTAGGAAACACTTGACGTTAAGGCTGCTCCATAGGATCCGAAAGCCGAATATGTATTTTCATATGCAGCAATATGATTTACAATCTTCAAGGCTAATGTTGGCTTCTACGTTGCTTGGTTTCTTAACATGGCCATGTAGCGCGTGAGGGCGAACCCTCTTCTGACCGTTTCTGTCCTTCTTTTGCCCCACTTTCTTAGCCAAACCAAACAAAACGGGACAGCAGAAGTCTCTACCCATCACAGCAACCATTCCAGGATGAGAATGTTGATCTTCTGGGCCCCCTACAAAAAATGCCCGTTCTACTCCAAATGCCCGTTCTACGCCAAACAATAGTGGTTCTACGCCAAAAAATAGTGGGTCTACGCCAAAAATCGTGGTTCTACGCCAAACAATGGTGTTTCTACGGTTTTCTAGAATTTGCCAGAATGAAGGCTCCGCCTACGCAAGACTTTCAGCAGGTGCATTGCGCAAACACGAAAGGGCCCCGAGGACCCTATCAATAAATAGTAATCTACTGGCTCCCAAGGCTACTTAAGAGGTTGCAATAGCACACGTAAGTTTCAATAAAAAACAAAGCAACAACCCAAAATGGACCCCAACACAAAATAGGGGTTGTCAATGCAAAAAATAGGGGTTGAACAACCCCTGAACAAAAAATGTAAAAAAGAAGAAAAAAACGAGGAAGCATAGGGCCGGAAATATATCTATACAATAGACATTCGTCTACTTTGGGTCAAGTAGACCTTATTCCTTTTCAGGTCAAAGAATCGTTCGTTTGACCGCGCGGTTTGGGAAACGAGTTTAAACAAATGCTACCCGAGTGTTTCGTAGCCCCCAGCTCTTGGAAGCGAGGGGCCCTCTACACTCCTGTTCGTTGCCGGCACAAGCCACATACCAAATCGGGTCTGGAGCCAAGGGCCGGTGGGACTTAGACAAACCCTTTATGGCGCCGGAAGCCAAGGTGTCGATAGTTCAAAAAGCGAGTAGTACCATTTCACCCAACTTATTCATGTGGCTGTTCTGAATCATTCTAGGGTGTTCTTTTCAAAACCAGCCATTTCCCCAGGGTTGTTGGTGGTTTTCTAGAAAGAAGGATCCCTGGAAAGAATGGGGAAGTTACCCCTAGAATCACGATAAGGCCAAATGCCGTGCACGTGAGTAAATGAGGTTTGCTTGACACTCCCGCTCAAGTACCTAAACCAAACCGTCACTCCCGAGAGCTGCGTTCCAAGTCTCAAATAAGCCACTGGCAACAGATGTGGCACGCTGTTGCCAGTACAAAGGAATACTTAAACCAAGTCTACCGACTGCCGCGCAAAAACAACAACAGCTAATACTAAACCAAGTCTCAAAGTCTACTGAGCGACAGGAACACTAAACCAACACTCAACCAAGTCTAAAGACTCCCGAGCCAGTACTATACCAAGCCTAAACAACTACCGAGCCAAGGCGCAGGAGAACTAAACCAATTTCGCCTGGTCGGAATCCCAGGGGAAAAAATCACAATCCATAAATAACATTCCTAATCCTCGTTCTGCTTGGTAATCTTAAGAATCCGCAATCCGCGCTGCAAATGGTGCGGGTCAAAAACTCCTCCTGGAGCATGCAATCCGCGTCTAATCCGAAACGCATAATCCACAATCCGCCACTCATTGGGGATTGGGTTTGAATAAGTTAGCAGTTCGCTGTGTTTCCATGCCTAAACTCATGCATGGAGTTTCGATCAGACGAAACGACTCATGGCTGTCATGACCTTTTACCGAACCCCTCCAGTTAAACATTGAGAACTGCTGTTTCCTCATTCATGAAGGGCGCGGATTTATTTCGGCATTTTGTTTTCGTTGTTTTTTCTTCGGGAATTCCTACAAAACAAAACCCTCCATTCATGAACATCCGGCTTTTCCACGCAAACGAGAGGAGAGCCACAGGAACACAGGCGGAGGAAAAAGAAAAAGAAAAAAAGCACACCCCTTATGTATCAAAGCGGGAGATTGGAGGAACTCCAATTCAAGAGGGAGGGGCCCAACAGTTGCCAATGGGCAAATGTGGGGGGCCTCCTTAGTGCCGGCCCTGTGCCAATCAAAAGTCTCCAGCCCACAGAGACCATTTCGGTCTCTAGCCTTCCAAGCCTTGCCTCTTTGCCAGCGGCGTGTTTCCCAGAAGGCAACACAAGTTGTCGTGCCCGAAAACAGAAGGGACAAAGCGAAAAGCACGCCGAAGAAAGAAAAACACGACGGCTTGCCCAAAACACCCCGGCGACGGTGCTGCCCGCGGAAGATGTGTAAAAAGTGTCAACTTGTGGATGCGCTCCTCCCGGAGCACATGCAAAGCGGTCTGCAGTGTGCGCTTGAAGGGGGACACCACCGCTAGGTGCAGCGACTTCAGTACCCCGGCCTGATGGCAGGGATTTGACTCGCTTTGAGAACCGGGCGGGTTAAACCCAAGCAAGCAAAACTGGGCTGTCCGTTTTCAGATCCCCTAAAAGTCGAACACCTGGGGGTTTAATGGAACGCCCGAAAAGCCTTGACATCTAAAGGGATGGCTGGAAACCACCAAGAAAGGGGGTCCAAACGAAGAAGAAAAAAAAAGGGGGCCGCTCCAAGATGGGTGTTCCAGGGCACACGGAAAGTCGCAATGAGCTTGACATGGGTTTGTGGCAGTTTGGTTTAGGGTAGGTTCGATTGGGGTGGGGTTAGGATTGGTTTCCCGAATTCAGGGAGCGTGGGTCTAAAGTGCCAGTGCGCCAGAATCTCAAAGTTGCACTCAGGTCTCCTGATCCTTTTGACACCTGTTGGGACAAGGGGGTGAGTAAGTCGCTTCCGTAGCAACCCCGGCAACCCACTGGCCCGGGAGCGGGTCGCCGCTTGCCTGACCTGCCGAATCGACCCCTCATCTATTCGCCTAAGCCCCCTGGACCACAAAATGTGACAAACAAAATGTCCAGTCGTGATAGATTCTCTTTTTAAGCTAAGAAGGGAAAATAGCAACATATTCTTAAGCAAATGGGCGTCAATCCAAAAGCAATCCAATGTCGTTTTGGTCGTCGCAACTAATCCCCCCCCCCCGCCCCCCACGCTGGGAATCAGCCTCCTGCAGGCATCTTTTGACCGCCTCCGCCTGAGCCTCGCGGCTAAGCGAGGCAAACGGTCCAAGTGGATCTGAATGGACAGCCCTCTTTTTGCCATGGCCAGAACTGAGTGGGGAAAAAACAGAAATTCACCCCCAGTTGGGCCCCCAATAGTCTCACTTGGAAATAAGGTTAACCTTTTAATTGGGACCTCTACTAAAAGTAGGGAAAACCAAAAGGTCAAAAGGTCGTCTTTGAACAACTGAGTTCTTCTTTGCTGGCGAAAAGGGAGCGAAACAAAACCCCCAACAAAAAAAAACGCGAAAGGTTCCGATGTTCGCCCATCCGTCTCATGCCAGTCAACGGGGGAAAAGGCGGGCCCCACCATCAACCAGCTGGGCTCAGTTTCGTGGACCCGAAGATGTGCTGAAAGGCACCGAGTCGGTTTCTGGCGCCGAATGCGCTGCCTTCTGTGAAGGCCGATCCTGGCAACTGGGCCTTTGGATTTCCAAGATGTGGCCATGGGAAAAAACAGGGCATCGATTTTGGTTGGTGCCCTTCCCAAAAAAAATGAAAAGGGCGCCGCTCGGCGGCTGGGATTTTGGCCAAACTGCCCGCGTTTTCCTCCATGCACTTTTGCTCAAGAACGCTCTCAGGGGATCGCGCCTACTGCAACATGTCTGACGTCTCCAAACCCAGCGCCGAGCGGATGGGATGCGTAGCTCAAGGCAAGTCCATGTCAACGGAGCTTGAGTCAGCGTGGAGCCTAACCTGTCGCAACTCCGGAAGGGCCAGGAAACAATGGATTCGGCAGTTCGAAACCAACACACACGAATATGCCATGCTCGAGAGACAAGGCCACCCGAACAGCAAACAATATGGGTTGGACAGCCGTGTGTATGTCTTTCTCCCAACA